AGCGTCTCCACGACGCTAGGTTGAGGGGCCCGAAGGAGTTTCAGGTAGGTGATCGTGTTCTGCTCTTTAATGCACGCCTGAAACTCTTTCCGGGCAAGCTCCGTTCTAGGTGGTCGGGTCCCTTCACGGTGACCCAAGTTTTCCCGCATGGTGCGGTGGAGATCAGCAATGCTCAAACCGAGCCATTCAAGGTGAATGGCCACCTCCTAAAGTTGTACTTGGGAGGTGCTGTCGAGCGCGCGGAGCTGCTGATCAAGCTCGAGGACCCTTAGTTCCTCTACTGGCGTCCAGCTAAAAGACGGTAAAGAAGCGCTTGTGGGGAGGCAACCCCACCGAGGTTTGCATTTTCTTACTCTTTTTCCTTTGATTTTGTGTGTTTTTGAGTCTTGAGACGTTGATCCGGAGTTACGTGTCGTTTTTGAGTGAAAACAGGTTGATTTCGGGACCCCAGCAAGTCGCACGGCCAGAAAATCCTCTTGCACGGCCGTGCGCCTAGCCTGGCCTGGCCGTGCGAGCTCTCGGCCAGGAGTGCACGGCCAAAAGTGCACAACGCACGGCCGTGCAGCATCCTCGGCCAGGCCGTGCGCCTTGCACGGGCAACTTGAGGCCTCGCACGGCCGTGCGGGTACCACCCCCTGGCCGTGCGAGCTCTCGGTGATGGTTGCACGGCCAAATGTGCCTTGTGCACGGCCGTGCAACATCCTCGGCCAAGCCGTGCCGGCCTGCACGGGCAAAAACCCAAGGTGCACGGTCGTGCGCCTCTGCCCGTGCAGCCGAGGCACGGGCTATATAAATGGCCGTGCACGGCCATTGTGCTCAGAAAACCCAAATCTCTCCGCCGGAAACCTCTCCCCTCGCCGGAAAACCGCGCCAAACCCACTTTTTTTGACTTTTCCGGCCACTTTGGGTGATTTTTTCACCAAACCAACACCAAAACCACTCCTTCTAGACCCAAAGCGGCCTATCCCCCGAGTTTGAGCGTGTTTGGGCGACATTTTTGTCGCCGGAGGCGATTTCCGGCGAGAATCCGGCGAGGCTCCGACGAGCATTTCCGGCCAGATTTTCGGCATTTCGTCGATTCCCTTGTCTTCCCCTCATCATCCCCTACACCTCTACTTGAGTCTCCAGGTTTGATTTTGTCCCTAACTATGTTAATTGTGGAGAATTGAGTGTGTAGGGTGTATGTTAGAGAATCTTATTGAATCCTGTGATTTGTGCGAAATTGATTGAGGGGAATGCATGGGATGTGATTGAATTATGTTGGGCAATGTCCCATTTGCTTGTTTGAGCCCTTGTGTGCAAGAATTTGGCCAATTTCATGCTTCACTTAATAGTGCACACAAGGTGTTCGATGAAATGCCTGTTTTCCATGCCATGTTGTGGCCACCGGTTGGGGCCCTTAATGATGTAGTTTGTGGGTGTATTTGTTATGGATGTGAACCTTGAGTTGCCTACTTTCTTGTGAATGTGCACCCCCACCCAGATTATGCTTGATTTATCGAGTTTTTGACCCCCGAACTATGGATGAAACCATGGTTCGGCTGCCTTCTGTTCTTAAGTGTGGGGGTGGGCTTGACCTTTTCTTTGGCTCTTTTGGTTCCACTTTGGGTTGTTGTTTTGCAGGGCAATGGCACAACCTAATTTCCAGCACCCGTTCATCCGGGATCTTAGGAGGGGCTCCACCGGAGAGCGCTTCAAGAAGGTCGTGGAAACCCCGTTTGGCGCCCACCATTGCTGGTCCAAACGGGAATTTCGGCGACTGCACTGCTACGAGCAGCTTTCCGCCGTGCTCGCCAACACCGCATGGCGCCGTCTGTTCTAGATCTGCGAGACGGTCTACTACGAGCCGGTGTGGGAGTTCTACACCACTTTCAAGCACAACTCCACGACCAGATACCATGACAGTACAACCGTCCAATTCAGGCTGGGTGGTGTCCCCCGGTCCTTGAGCTATCACGAGCTGGCTGAGGCTCTCGACCTCGACCTCGATGACAGTCGGGACTACGTCACCGAGGTTAATGAGCCACCGGAGGTGGACTTCAGGAGGCTGTACACCAGCCTGGCTCAGCCTGGCCAGACGCGTCCTTTCAAGTCTGGGAGGACGAAGGCATCTACCTTGCAGATCGAGTACCGACTTCTCCACCACCTGCTGGCGAAGTCTTACCACTCCTGCATCTGACAGCGCCGGCGCCATCACGAAGAGGCCCCTGTACTTCCTCGATTCGATCCGACAGCGCCGCCATCCTCTCCACCTGGGTTCGGTGGTGGCCAAGACATCGAGAAGACGGCCACAGAGCTGAAGAGCCTCCACTGCGCCCCCCTCATCACCCGCCTGGTTACCTTCTTCGGCCTCTCACTGCAGGGGTGCACCAAGGAGGGAGAC